TTACCTGCTGCTGCTGCTGCCTGCCCCTGCTTCTTTTCAGGCTTCCCACGAACATCTGATTCGCGGGAAGCAGAGGAGGGGGAGGAGCAGGGGGCGGAGCGTTCAGGGGAGGAGAGGAGGGGGAAGTGAGCCGGGGGCGGGGTGGACAGCTGCGGGGCCCTCTTAGGCGCGGGGCCCAATTCAGCCGAATCGGCCTAAAGCCAGCCCTGCCGGCAGCCGCTGCCTGCTGCCGGAGTCTACAAGCCCCGCCCCGCTGCAGGACGCAGCGGAGCGAGACCTCCTCGCTGCCTCTCTGTGTGCCCGGGGCAGGGCTGCGCTGTGCAGGCTCCTGCCAGCCAGGCGGGAGGCCCCATGGGCTGGTGCCGCTGTGCCGGGAGCTCAGCTGCACGCTGGCCCAGGGAGGAAAGGTGAGTGGTGCCGGCGGTGCCGGCTTGCCGCAGTCACCCTCATATAAGGTGACCAGACATCCCGACCAATGTAAGGTCGGGACGCGGGACAAGTTCCTTAAAATCGGGACTGTCCCGATAATATCGGGACGTCTGGTCACCCTAAGTGCTATAGAGGGCAGACAATTTATGAGTTTACCCTGTATAAGCTTTATACAGAGTAAAATGGATTTATTTGGAGTTTGGATCCCATTGGGAACTGGGTGTTGGAGATAAGTGACCTGATGAGCAGTTTTTGGTTAAAGTCTGCAGCTTTGGGGGCGTGGACCAGACCTGGGTCTGTGTTGCAGCAGGCTAGCGTGTCTGGCTCAACAAGGCAGGGTTCTGGAGTCCCAAGCTGGCAGGGAAAATAGGCTCAGAGATAATTCCAACACGTCAGGTGACAGTCCCAAGGGGGTCACAATGCTATTTTGTTTACAAGATACACTAATCAATTAAAGTTAACTTTACTGTTGTACAGTTCAGTTACACCTGTACCATGAAACAAGATTTGGCACTTATGTAAAGCTGTCCATCCTAAAGTATTGAATAGCTTGAACCTCAGAATATCAAAGGCAGTAATGTATATTATCTTAATTTTATAGATGGGGGAACTGAGGGACTTGGTCACCATTTGTGTCAAAGGCAGGATTAGAACATGAGAATTCCTGGCTCTTACAGACATGCTTAGTTTACTGACTCCTGCTGCTTCTCTAGAAATGAGTGAAAAAGGTTACCTGTAACTTCCGGCACAGCAAATTCTACTGTGAACTGAAAACAATGCTGTTCCTACTGATCCACACATGACAGGTTTGATGGTTCTCTCAATCAGCCCCAAAGGGGGGGCGGGTGTGGTTGCTGAAGCAGGAAGTGGAACACACTGTGCCCTTCTCTCTGGGCTGAGGGGAATGTGGACAGTTACGTTCTGCAAATGTAGCAAGAAAAAGGGAGCCAAACTGAGGTTTTTCAGAACAGGTTAGACAAACACCTGTCAGGAGGGACTATGCATAAGTAGACCAGACTCTTAAGCGGCACCTCTCAAAGGTTTGCCAAGAGGCTTCCCTTAAGTGGCCTGATGCTTTGCCCCTTGTTTTGCTCCGCATTCGCGCTCTCCCTAAGGGCAGGTTAGGGCTCAGTCCCTTCGAGATTATGTTTGGAAGGGCATGGCCTATGAATGGTACACCGGTTCTGGCAGGGGAGTGGGAAATGGGGTGTGGCTTCTTATCTCAGTACATGTGCTCTCTGTCTGCTGTTCTTTGTTCTCTCCACAGGTATACCAAAGATTTGCAGCCTCTCCCGCTGGATGCCCCGATCCACTCCTTGCAGCCAGGCGATTTCGTACTCGTTCGGACTTGGAAGGACGAGCCTCTCCAAGAGAAGTGGAAGGGACCTCACACCGTCCTGCTGGTCTCCCATACAGCAGCAAAGGTTGAGGGACACAAGAACTGGATTCATCACTCTCGCCTGAAAGCAGTGCCTGCTCCTGAACGGTGGACCGTCCAGCCTGCAGAGAAGACTGCCAGCGATGATCTGGGACTTAAGCTGTTATTCAGGCGACAATAGTGTCTGCTGGGAATGCCCTGTGATCTCTTTGGACAGTCACAGCGCACTCCCCGCGAGACCTCTGAGCGTTTGTTGTGTTTATTTTCACAGGGCCGGCCTAACCTGGTGGCCTGGTCCCTGTTGTTTTTAATCTGCTTGCTATTGGTAATTGTTATTTTGTGGGTATTTGGGGAATTGTGATTGTTAGGCCCTAGGGTCACCTGCCCAATATGAGTTCAGGTCTAGGGTCTGCCACAGTGGTGCTCTTTGCCATAGAGACACTCCTCTTGTTAACTCCCGTTTCCCCCCAGGCACATGCGGGATGGAAAGGAATCCCTACTAACTTAGAGACAAATACATATGAGTCCCTGAAGGTTTGCTTTGCCCAAGAGTTTAACCTCTCTAACTGCTGGGTATGCTCCCAAATCCCGCACCATGCTGCAGGGTTACCCTGGAGGGTAGTTCCCCAGAATTGGTCAGATATCTGTTGGGGATGGTTCAGTAAGGGGAAAAATGCCTCGGATACCCCCTTGTCACAGAACTGTACCATTGAGTCCCAGTATGCGTTAAGGGACGACCCCTGGAAGCCGCAGGCCAACTCAACGTATATCCCTTCCCCTATTAGGTTGCGGCCAGTGGCCCCTGGTTTGGTGTGCTATCGACAGTTTAAGTCCAGCAATCACACCTGGTTTGCTGGGAATAGCACCTGTCAGTATTATTTATCCCCTGACAGTGACGCTTCCATCCCTGTCTACGTTAAAGGCAAATCCGACTCTACCGCCCGGCTCGGATCGTTGAATGACAGACAAGCAAATAGGTGGAATAGCGGTTATAATGGCTTGGTAGGGAATGGCCACTCCTTTTATATTTGCGGTACCTCTGCCTATAAGTGGCTACCGCATCAGTGGTATGGAAGCTGCTACCTAGGATATCTTGCCCCTCCCCTTCGTGTCTTCCCTAAACTGCCCCCTGGCCGCCCTAGGCAGCATAGATCTTTGTATGCCACCCCAGAGCCCATTACAGAAGGAGACAGATTGGGTATGATCTTTCTCCCATCCTATGGGGTGGGATGACTGGCTCAATTTTATCGTAGGCTCTCTGTGTTTCTCACCAAGTATGCCAATGAGACCTTGGCCATAGAGAAAAGCCTTAACTCAGAGCTTTACCAGCTCCGGTTGCTGTCCCTGCAAAACAGACAGGCTTTAGATTATGTTTTAGCCTCCCAGGGCGGAGTGTGTGTCCTTATTGGGAGTGAATGTTGTACTTATGTCCCAGAAAACTCACAGGACATTAACAAGCACGTCCTGTCAGCCGAACAGGCTTTTGAGCAGTGGAAGGCTCAGGAAAGGGAACCCACAGTTTTTGATTCCCTTTGGGGCTGGTTGCCCAACCTAGGAGGACTGGGAAATAGCCTTGTGCGTCTCCTCCTCACAGGTGTGGTACTGTGCCTGGTCACCCTCCTCCTGATTGCTTGTTTTAAATTGCTCCTCCGTAAGCTTTGTGCCCCCCGTTCCCCAGAAATCCCAGCGTACCCTCTCATTGAGAACCCTAGCTCTATGGCACTCAATCATATCTTCTCTACAGAATATGAGAAAACTCAGCCAAAAGTTTGTTGAGTATTCTCAAAGGAGGGAATTGTTGACGTTATTAGGCCTATATATATATATATATATATATGAACCAAAGTTCTTCCATGTTTAAACTCTGTCCTTCCATGTTTAACTCTAATCGACCTCAAAAGCCAAGGACAGGAATTGGAATGTGTAAATAGCCAGTTACCAATTATGACCTTGCTCATAACCAGGTCCTAAGCAATAATGATGAGGTTTGCATGTTTCTAGCTGGAGGAGGGGTAGTAAACTAAGGGTAAACAGAACCAAATGACTGTTTAGAGGAATGTTACGAACAAGCTGAATGATTTAACGGCTTAAATGTATAAACATGCCTTCGGTAGAGGGGGGGCGGGTGGAGGGGGAGGGAAGGGGGGGGCTTAGTTGTAAAGTATAAGAAGAGAGAAAATGTTTTGTTCTGATGTGCTCGATTTGAGACTTGCCTGTCTCCTTGCACCACTTTGAGATCTCAAATAAACTTTGATTGTTTCTCCACCCCGGTATGTTTATTGGCGCGAAGCACGCCGGGCAACGAACCCCCTGTTGCTGTCCTCGGGCCTCTGTGCCTGCAACACTCCCACACCCCAACCTTTATGATGTTCACCTTAAAAAAAAAAAATTCCCTGGGTGCACACCCTAATGAAATGTGCTGTGCACGCCTATGACTGGGACCACCCTGGACTAAGAGCATCAGCTGCTTTATCTAAGGAGCCGGTGGCCGTGGGGAGCTGTCTCGTGTCTGAGCCCCGCAGCGCTCCCAAGGCCGACGGAGTCCTACGCGCAGCGCAGGGCTGCCGCTGGGGCCTTGAAGCCGGGACAAGGCTGGAGCTATAACAACGCTGTCAGGGGCGGAGGCGCCACCCAGGGTTACAGGGCAATGGCCGCTCGGCTGAGCTGTGACTAGCGTAGGCCTGACGCGGGCCACGCCCGGCAGCGAGCGTCCTGCCTATCTCCGCTGGCAGGGGGCGCCGTGCCGCACAGCCCAGAGCCCGCCGGGGCCCTCGTAGCGCCCAACGCCCCGCCCACTCCCCTCCCCGCGCGGCGCCGACTCACCCGCCCCTCTGCCAGCTCCACGCCGACTTCTCCGCGCCCAGCCGGGCCGCCCTGCTCTCGCGATGTGGCCGGCGCTCTCGCGCCTCCTCCTGCCGCGTCCCTCTCGCGAGATCGCTTCGACAAGATGGCGGCGCGGCCGGGCCGCTGAGCGGAGCGGCCGGAGGTAGGCTGGCTGTCGGCTCCCCTGAGCCTGCTGGGTCCGGGCTGTTTCCGGGGGGGATGCTGACGGGACGGGACTCGCCGCCGCGGCTCTGAGTGCCTCGTCCCCCCGCAGCGGCTCCGGCTCCCCCCGGCTGCGGCGAGTCTGCCCGGCGGGGCCCCCCGGTCCGCGGGGCCGCCGCTGGCGATGACCGGAGAGAAGCTGCGCTCGCTGCGCAGGGACCACAAGCCCAGCAAGGAGGACGGGGACCTGCTGGAGCCTGGCGAAGAGGAGGCGGCGCCCGCGCCCGGAGGCGTCTTCACGGGGGGCCGTGGGGGCAGCGGCAAGGGCGGCCGCGCCGGGGGCCACCGCATCTTCAGCAACCACCACCACCGGCTACAGCTGAAAGGGGCCCCGGCGGCCCCGGCCCCCGCCACCCCGGGGGCAGTCAGCCCCGCCGCGGAGGCCGACAAGTGCCCGGGGCACTTCCCGGTGCACGAGTGTGTCTTCAAGGGGGACGTGAGGCGGCTCTCGGCACTGATCCGCACGCAGGGCATTGGCCAGAAGGACAGTCACGGTGAGTGTTGCCCCGACCCGCGCCTACGGGCAGCAGCCAGAGCCCCGCAGAGATCCTCCTCATCCCAGCTCCCAGGAGAGAGCTGCCCCATCCCGTTCAGAGAGCGCCCACCGCCGCCGTCCCTGTGCTCCGCCCTCGAGCTGCCAGAAGGACAGGCGGGATGACAGTTTTCTTTGGGAATTCCCCCATATTCCAGTGGGTGCATCCTCCCTAACCCAGCCATCCCTGTCATCTACACAGCCAGGGCATCTCCCAGAAAGATGGCCATGAGCAGTGTGCCATAGGTTGCTTCCCAAGTTACTTTCTGGAACCCCCTCATCCAGACCCAAGACATTTGGCCAGAAGGACAGCCACGTCTCCCATTTCTTGGGATTGCACCTCAGAAAAGCAATCGTAGTGGGTTCTTCTTTGAAGCACCCCCAAACGGAGGTCCACACCTGGACATAGTGCAGATGGATTAGTGGGGAGATATTTCTACCCCACGCTGCTTGTAGAGAGACTCCCCCATTCCTTCTTATTTACTTATGCGATTCATTATCTTCGCTTCCATTTCCTTCCCTTGTGGAAAAACCTTTCCATATGTGAAACTACAGGATCAGTCAGAAAGATGACAGTGAGTTTCTTAACCCCCCCCCCCCGCATATACTCTAGGGGGCGATTCTTTATTCAGAGACCCTGTGACATTACATAGGGTACAATCTGAACTGATAAACAGCTGTCCCCTCTCAGTTCTCTAACCTGGGGTGCCTTTTACACTGCTTTGCTGGTCTGGTCCTGGTCTGGTCACACTAAGGCTTTGTCTATGCTGCGCACCTTTTAGCGACAAGGCTGTGCCACTACAGCTGTGCAGCTAAAAGGCATGCAGTGTAGCCACTGTTTGTCAGCAGGAGAGCTGTCCCGCCGACAACAAACTTCCACCCCCTACAAGCGACAGTAGCTTTGTCGGCAGGCCCTGTTCACGCCACTGTTCACAGCTTTTCATCAGCAAAACTTTTGTTGTTGGGGGGGGCGGGGGGAAGGATTTTTATTTCACACCCCTGAACAATAAAAGTCTTTGTTCAGTTTCCAGTGTCGACAAAGTCATCGCCTCCCTCATGTAAATTATACTGCAAGACTGCTACAGTCAGTAACCCTTGAATCACACTGTAGAGCAACACCAGCAAATTCCCAGCCCCAGACTTTCCCCTAGAAATGTACCTCTTGTACTGCCCAGCACTGTCCTGGATAATACAAGTTCATATAAAGTCCATAATTTTATTAATAGAAAATGATATGCACAAATCCTGTTATTCCAAATGGAGCTTCCCAAACACACTTGTCTAGATAAAACAATAAAACAAGTTCATTAACTAGAGAAAGATAGATTTTAAGTGAGTATAAGTAATGAAGCATAACAATCAGTATTAGTTAGAAGAAAATAAAAGTAAATCTCAACTAATGCCAAATTTAACAAGCTAGAGTGAATTCAAAACAAAGGTCTCTCTCACCACATGTTTTAGCATTCTTACTGGCTGAATCTTTCAGTCAGGATCCCTCCACCAATCCAAAGCTGTTTCCTTTGTTCTTCAGGTGGTGTGGATGCCGGGGATAGAGAAAAAGGAGGAATAATTTGGGGCATCTCCTCTCTCTACCTCTTTCTCTTCTTTGAGAATCATCTCTTGCTGTGGTTCAGGAGACAGACAGCCTATGTGGATGGGGAAACCCCAGCTGTTCCTTTGTCAAGATGTAGATTTTCACCCACATCCTCTTTCCTGCCAAAGAATGGCCACTTAACCAAGTGGTGGTCCATTTGGTTTTGCTGACACCTGGCTGAGGCATTGGATAGCCTTTTGTCTCTGGGAAACTGGTTTGTGGCTGCTTCCCCCCAGACTTGGAACATGTTGAGTAATAGCATACAGAGGAATCCTGTAACTTTACATGCAGTATTGCCACACACACTTTACCTGGACAATAATGATCAGCAAGTTGAGTTTCCAAATGATACCTCACAAGGCATACTTTGCACCAAATTTATTATAGTTCTGTAAAAGAGGGGAACATTGGAGTACAGCTGTCACACACCAACTTTAAGGAGCAGTGGGATTGGGACAGTCCAGAATTTGGAGGAGAATCCTGGGATATTGCTTCCCTAGGAGGTCTTTTTCTCATCCAGAACCACTGGATTGGCCAGAATCCATGGGGTTGAGTAGAAGAATAATCACTGCCAGTTCTTCTTACTGGACCACTCTCTCCCTGTGGTGAGGCCCTCATCATCTTGTCTACCCCATTTATAGTGAATTCCTTTCAAGATTTCCTATTCCAGTTTGTCAGGATAGATCCTTTGGGGCAGATTCTTTCCTACTTCTAATCCAAGTGGATTCCCTGACACTATTCTTCTGCTATCTCTATTTGTGGTAGTCTTGTGTGGAACCTGGCAGTTAGGGATGGACTCGCTTACTATGATTTTTCTATCTCTTTGCAAAAGTAGGATTCATTCTCTTCCTCCCCCTCTCTCTGCCCCACAACAGCAGAGAGTGAAGCCTTTCATCCTGAAACTCTTGATGTAAGCGCAGTTTAGTGAGTTGCATTGTAGTGTAAGGTTGGAAAAGCTTCCAATATGTAACATATTTTCACATGTTCATAACTTGCTGATGTTCTATGTTTGTGCAAATTCACCTCTGGACATAGAGCAGTTTTGGCTGGGGAAAAACTTTAAAATAGTCATAAGTGATTGAAAAATCACTTCCACACATGCTCTAAGACTTGAGTGGAAGGATTTGGGCAGAGTTTTTCCCCAGCTGAAAGACACTCTGGATGAGTGATTGTAACGTAAACTCTTGCACATAACAGTTCTCCAAAAATATTCTTTGAAGTTATGGGTAGGAAAAAAGAGGATATGTGGGGGGAAATATGAGGATTTCTCTTTTAATGCAAGTGTAGGGCCTGTAACTTGTGATGTACACTTTACAAATTCTAAATTTTGTTTTTAAATAAAAAAAATCTTTCCTTTGCTATGATACAGCTATCATAATGTAAACAAATGTGCTACTGCCCTACTAATGTAGCCTAATAGAATATGGTTTCTAGCTGTATAATAGTGGCAAAGGTGAAGGCTTGCCTCCTTCCCTAATTCATAAGGTTTGAACTTTCAAAGCCTGATCAAGGTCCTTTAAATTATTATCATCTTAAACCTGAAGGGTTCCGATTAAATAAATAGAGGATAAAACTGGAAAAATGTGAGGGGCAGGGGAGAAGGGGAAGGGATCTGCCTGCACTTCCAAGGTCTGCAGGTGCCTACAGGGAGGGTGACTCTACATATACAAATTTTAAGGTACAACTTTATTCAGCCTTACAGACTCTAGGTAACTTTCTTTCTGGTTCCTTGGACGGTTGTGTAAGATAGGTTTTACTATTCCAAAAGAGCTTCATTTGTTGTCAGAAGCTTGTTGTTTTATGGCTGTTTTTATATGCATTGTCGCATCATGTTAAGGGAAAAGATGGATTTTTGTGCTGAACTGCTCCATTAATTTGGTTTTTAGACTCCAGCATTTTCATAATAGTGAATCAAAAGTGTACGAACACTTGCAGCTAGAGCCTTTGAATCTCTACTTGTACAGGTGCTGGATTTTGCTTATGTGCTTATAAAAATGTTTTATGCATGCAAACTCTGGAACCTAAAACATGCATATGCACTAGTGCTAGCTTGGATGAGCCCCCAATGAAAGTCTGATCCTAAATGTGCAAAGAATCAATATCTAGTGAACTTCAGTCTCTTAATTTGGTCTATCATCAGTTGTTTTATGATGACAGGTTGCAAACTAATTTGATTTTGCTCTTTCCGAACTCTTACACTAATACACACAACAGCCACTTGAAGTTTACATAATCATTTAAGTAGCTGTTAGTACAAATTAACTTATCTTAAAAGTTTATGCATGTCAGACCCTTAATAGTTGTAAAACTATAAATGATCCAGTAGCTTATTCTCCAAAGCTCGCAATATTAATTAGAACTTGTGGCATCAGATGCATGGTTTACATGACAATTTTTACGATACACTAAGGTGGTGGCTGGAAAAATAAAGTGTGGAATGAGAATGAACCTGATGATTGATAATCTGTATTTTCCATAAGTAACTGAGCCTGAAGAGGAGCTCTGTAAGCTCAAAAGCTTGTCTGACTCACCAACAGAAGTTGGTCCAATAAAAGATATTACCTCACCCACCTTGTCTCTCTAATATCCTGGTATCACTACAGTTACAACAATACTTTGTCACGTGTTTGGTATTTCATTCTCTTCCAAACATACCTCCTCCTTCTTCTAAATTGCATCAAGTCCAAGGATGTTGCATGAGGCTCCTCCTTCCTTATTTATATATACTACATCGGGGTGGGCAAACTATGGCCCATGGGCCAGATCCGGCCCCTCGGGGCTTTGGATCCGGCCCGGGGGATTGCCCCCTATGGCGCTGTAGGCCCTGCGCCACTCTCAGAAGCGTCCGGCACCATGTCCTTGCGGCCCCCAGGTGGGGGGGCAGAGGGCTCTTTGCGTTGCTCTTGCCTCCAGGCACGGCCCCCCGCAGCTCCCATTGGCCGGGAACAGGGAACCACGGCCAATGGGAGTTTCGGGGGAGGTACCTGAAGGCGCGGCAAGGGTAGCACAAGCGGAGCCCTCCGTCCCCTTCCCTCCCCCAGGGGCCGCAGCGCTTCCTGGAGCGGCGGGGGGCCAGGGCCAGGGCAGGCGTGCAGGGAGCCTACCCTGGCCCGGTGCGCGCTGCTGCCACCCCAGAGCCGCTTTAGGTAAGCGGTGCCGGGCTGGAGCCCGAACCCCGCCTGCAGCCCACCCCCCCAACTCCCTGCCCTAAGCCCCCTGCCTGCACCTCGCATCCCTCCTGCACCCCAACTCCCTGCCCTGAGCTCCCTCGTACACCCTGCACCCCTCCTGCACCCCACCCCTTTCCTGAGCTCCCCACTGCACCCTGCACCCCAACCCCTTGCCCTGATCACCCTGCCA